ACATGTATCATATGACCTCACTGACATGAGGAATTCTTAATCGCAGGAAACAAACTGAGGGTTGCTGGAGTGGGGAGTGGGGTGGGAGGGATGGGGTGACTGGGTGATAAGACACTGGGGAGGGTATGTGCTCTGGTAAGCGCTGTGAATTGTGCAAAACTATTGAATCTCAGATCTGTACCTCTGAAACAAATAATGCAATATATGTTAAGAAAAAAAAAAAGAAGAAGAAGAAGAAGGTAGCAGGAGGGGAAGAATGAAGGGGGGGAAATCGGAGGGGTAGACGAACCATGAGAGACGATGGACTCTGAAAAACAAACAGGGTTCTAGAGGGGAGGGGGGTGGGAGGATGGGTTAGCCTGGTGATGGGTATTAAAGAGGGCACATTCTGCATGGAGCACTGGGTGTTGTGCACAAACAATGAATCATGGAACACTACATCTAAAACTAATGATGTAATGTATGGGGATTAACATAATAAAAAAAATTTTTAATAAATAAATAAATAATCTTAAAAAAAGAATGAAAGATAAAAATTATATGATCATCTCAACAGATGCAGAAAAAGCATTTGATAAAATTCAACACCTTTTCATGATGAAAAGCTCTCAACAAACTAATAACATGGATATTACCTCAACATAATAAAGGCCACATATAAAAAGCCCACAGCTAATATCAAAGAAAAAAACTCAAAGCTTTCCCTCTAAGATCATGAAGGAAAAATGCCCACTCTTGCCACTTCTACATCTGGTATACAGAAAACTCTAAAGACTTCATGTAAAAACTGTTAGAACTTACAAACCATTAAATTAGGTTTTCAGTTTTCAGTTGCAGAATACAAAATCAATATACAAAAATTAGTTGTGTTTCTTTATACTAACAATAACCTGAAAAAGAAATTAGAAAAACAATCCCATTTATAATAGCATCAAAAGGAAAATTTTTGTATTTTTTGTATCCACAAAATACCTAGGAAAACACATAACCAACGAGGTAAGAGACTTGTACAATGAAAACTGCAAAACACTGATGGAAGAAATTAAAGATACACAAGATGATGGAAAGATATTCTGTGCTCATGGATTGGAAGAATATTGTAAAAATGTCCATATTCCCAAAACAATCTACTGATTCAATGCAATCCCTATCAAAATCCCAATGGCATTTTCTATAGAAATAGAAAAAACAATCCAATGAGCCAAAATAATCTTTAGAAAGTACAACAAAGCTGGAGGCTTCACATTTCCTGATCCCAAAATATATCATAAAGCTGCGGTAATTAAAACAGAATGGTGGGTGCCTGGGTGGCTCAGTTGGTTAAGCAACTGCCTTCAGCTCAGGTCATGATCCCAGAGTCCTGGGATCGAGTCCCGCGTTGGGGGAGCCTGCTTCTCCCTCTCCCACTCCCCCTGCTTGTGTTCCCTCTCTCGCTGTGTGTCTCTCTGTCAAATAAATAAATAAAATCTTTAAAAAAAAACAAAAAACAGAATGGTACTGGGCGCCTGGGTGGCTCAGTCGTTAAGCGTCTGCCTTCGGCTCAGGTCATGATCCTAGGGTCCTGGAATCGAGCCCCGCATCAGGCTCCCTGCTCAGCGGGAAGCCTGCTTCTCCCTCTCCCACTCCCTCTGCTTGTGTTCCCTCTCTCGCTGTGTCTCTCTTTGTCAAATAAATAAATAAAATCTTTAAAAAAAAAAAAACCAGAATGGTACTAGCATAAAGACATACACATAAGTTAATAGAACAGAAGAAAACAAATAAATTCACGTATACACAGTCAATTAATATGCAACAAAGGTGCCAAAACTATAACAGAGAAGGGAAAGTCTGTTTAACAAACGATGACGGGAAAACTGAACATCCACATGCAAAAGAAAGAAATTTGACCCTTATCTTATACCATACAGAAAAATTACCTCAAAATGCATTAAAGACTTAAACATGAGACCTGACTGTAAAGCTTCACATAGGGGAAAAGTTTCGTGACACTGGTCTTAGTGATGATTTCAGGATATGACACCAAAAGCAAAACAGACATACAGGACTACATCAAATTTAAAAGCTTATGCACAGTAAAGGAAACAAAAGAGTGAAAAGGCAACTTATGGAACAGGAGAAAATATATGCCAACCATGTATCTGATAGTGGTTAATTTCTAAAATATGTAAGCAAAAGAACTAATAACCTGATTAAAAAATGAATAAGAGTGTGAGTAGACGTTTTTCCAAAGAAAATGTACAAATGGCCAAGCAGTATGAAAAATGCTCAAAATCTCTAATCATTACAGAAACCTAAATCAAAACCATGAAGAAACATTGCCTATTGCTTTTAGGATGGCTGTCATTAAAACAAACAAACAAAAAAGACAAGTAACAAATGTTGGTGAGGATGCAAAGAAATTGGAACTCTTGGGGCACCTGGGTGGCTCAGATGGTTTATTGTCTGCCTTCAGCTCCGGTCATGATCCCAGGGTCCTGGGATGGAGCCCCATGTCAGGCTCCCAGCTCGGCAGGGAGTCTGCTTCTCCCTCTCCCCCTGCTTGTGCTCTCTGTCTCTCTCTCTCTCAAATAAATAAACAAAATCTTAAAAAAAAAAAAAAAAAAAGAGGGGCGCCTGGGTGGCTCAGTCGGTTAAGCGGCTGCCTTCGGCTCAGGTCATGATTCCAGGGTCCTGGGATCGAGCCCCACGTCAGGCTCCCTGCTTAGTGGAGTGTCTGCTTCTCCCTCTCCCTCTGCCTGCCTCTCTGCCTACTTGTGCTCTCTCTCTCTCTGTCAAATAAATAAATAAAATCTTTAATAAATAAATAAATAAAAAGAAAGAAAGAAAGATATTGGAACTCCTGTACACTACTGGTGGAAATGCAAAATGGTGCAGCCATGGAAAACAGTATGGAGAGGTTCCTAAAAAATTAACAACAGAAATTATATGATCCATGAATCCCACTTCTCGGTATTTATACAAAAGAATTGAAATCAGGATCTTGAAGAGATATTAGCACTCATTTGTTCCCTGCAGTACTACTCATAATAGTCAAGATATGAAAACAACCCAAATTCACAGACGGATGAGTCTGTGGATAAAGAAAATGTGGTATATACTTAGAATGGAATACTATTCAGCTTTAAAAAAGAAGGAAATCCTACCATATGTGATAACATGGATGAAACTAGAAGACACTAACCTACATGAAATAAGCCAGTTACAGGACAAAGACAGCATTATTTGACTTATATGAGATATCTAAAAAGAGCAAAACTCATAGAAGCAAGAGTAGTCACCAAAGGCTGGGGTTATAGGGAAACGAGCAGTTGCTAATCAACTAGTATAAAGCTTTAATTATGCAAGGCAAATAATTGCTAGAGATCTGCTATACAATACTGTGCCTAAAGTTAACAATATTGTAGTATACACTTAAAAATCTCTTGAGGGTAGATCTCATGTTAAATGATCTTATCACACTTAAATTTTTTTAAAGATGTTATTTATTTGAGAGAGCTTGTTTGGAGGTTCTAGCAGGGGAGCGCAGCTACTCGTATACCCTTGACCGAAGAACGGTCCTCCTCTATTGGGGAAGGTCGTCCTCTTCAACCGAGCGCGCAGCTTCGGGAGGGACGCACATGGAGCGGTGAGGGAGGAAGGGGACACCCGCCTAGCCAGCCAGATCAGCCAAATCAACCCTGGCGATCAATGGGGTGACAGATGTCGCAGCCAGATCGCCCTCACATCCATAAAGATGTTATTTATTTGAAAGAGAGAGGGACAATGAGTATGAGCAGGGGGGAGGGGCAGAAGGAGAAGCAGACTCCCCACCGAGCAGGGAGCTGGACATGAGGCTTGATCCCAGGATCCTGAGATCATGACCTGAGCCAAAGGCAGACGCTCAACCAACTGAGCCATCCAGGTGCCCCTCACAATTAAATTTAAAAAGAAAGAAAGAATAAAAAGCAGTTGTAAGAATTTACACGCTACCAGCAGCTTGAGGGTGCTGCTCCACATTCTCATTTATTCTTTCTAATGTCAGACTTAAATTTTTGCCCACGTTACAGGTGACATAATGGTATCCCACTGCATTTTCAATTTGTATTTCCCTGATAACTAATAAAATTAAACTCTTTTTTTCCCATGTTAAAAAAAAAGCTAATAGTATTTCTCTGTACCAACAATACCAATTAGAAAACTGTAGATGCTCACAATAGCAACACAATCTACTTGAAAAATCTAGAAAGTAACTACACAAAGAACAAAAAATTGCTATGGAGAGTAACAGTTATAACACACATCCTGGGTTTTGTTTTTGGGCTAAGTATAGTTTTGGTTCTGGTTTGTGCAAGGCTGGTAAGTTATAGTGATTAGGAATCTGATTGTGGTAATTTCTATAGGGATAATAGAAATCTGTTCCAGTTATCTGGGGATCCCTTCATTCTCTGTTAAGTGAGATGACAGAGAATCTGGATTGTTATCTTCCCTGTGGGTCTGTTTATAATATTTTGTGCCTCCTGGAAAGGAAAAAAAAATCTTGGGAGATCTGCATTGGTGAGTTCTTTAGTTCTTTGTTTATTCTATCTTATGGCTAAATTGTAAAACTAAAGTTGTACCTACAGTTGAGAAAAGCTTTTTTTGTTGTTTTATCTTGAAGCTTTTTTTTTGAGATGTAACTGACAAAAAAACTTTTACCTAATAACAGGGTGTGAAATATTTTCCTACTTCCAGAAAGTATTAATAAACTTAATTATGAAGGGTCATAACTTAAAGGAGCTCACACCAAAAGCACATGCAACCAAAGAAAAAATAGATAAACTGGATCTCGTCAAAATTAAAAACTTGTGCTTCAAAGGACAAAATCAAGAGAGTGAAAACACACCTACTAAATGGGAAAAAATACTCACAAATCATAAAGTTGATAAGACTTCTATCTAGAATATATAATTAACTCAGAAATTCAATAATAAAAAGACAACCCAATTAAAAATGGACAAAATCATTACCTATCATCTCCTCACCTGAACAAAGGCCTCTTGTCAGCTCTCTTTCAACCATCCAGGGTTCTTTTCCTTGTTCCAATAAGGAAATCACAGCTGGCTTAGAATTGGAAAGTCCTGATGACAAAAAAAGACATGGACATTGTTACGCTGTGGGTGTCCCAGAAATCAGATCCAGTCCCTTGGTGACCAAGAAAATGATGCCACTATAGGAAGGACCAGAGAAAAGATGAAGATGAAGCTTCAACCCACTGGAGCTGCTCATTTCATACACGTCCATTCTGTTCCAACTCAAACCATTCCTTGAGGAACAGGGAGCAGAAATTTAGCTGGTTACTTGAAACAAATAATTCATAATGGAGAAAGGAGACATTCCCAACGGTAGACTCTGAATTTGGGGGGATAGTTATCCTTACCCACTGAAACCAGGTTGCTGAAATTCTCCAACATCACTTCTTTGTATAAATTCATCTGACCCGAGTCCAGGCATTCCCATTCCTCCTGAGAGAAGTTTATAGATACATCCCTGAACATCATTGACCCCTGAAACAACAAACATGCTTTCACAGTGGAAGGAGATTAAAAAAAAAAAAAAGATGGTAATAGAGATGGTGGTAGAGCTTATTAAGCAAATTGAAGGGGCTGGAACTCTATTATATTAGTAGAAGACATATCTTTTGTGTACAGAGGGATACATCAAGGAACATGCAAGTAAACATTTCCTATGTCATAAAATAGCAAGCATACAGCTCAATGCTCCATGCCTGGCTATAGTGAAATGTGCATATATGTGAATCCTTCCCCGTTCCCATATTTTCCTTTTAAGACCCAGAAGAGAGAACAATGTGATGTACTTTAAAAAAACATATTATGGGGGGGGGGGGGTGCCTGGGTGGCTCAGTTATTAAGCGTCTGCCTTCGGCTTGGGTCATGGTCCCAGGGTCCTGGGATCAGGCCCCACATCGGGCTCCTGGCTCGGCAGGGGGCCTGCTTCTCCCTCTCTCACTCCCCCTGCTTGTGTTCCCTCTCTTGCTATGTCTCTGTCAAATAAATGAATAAAATCTTTAAAAAAAAAAAATCTTATGGGGGGCGCCTGGGTGGCTCAGTCTTTAAGCATCTGCCTTCGGCTCAGGTCATGATCCCAGGGTCCTGGGATCGAGCCCCACATCGGGCTCCTTGCTCGGCAGGCAGCCTGCTTCTCCGTCTCCTACTCACCCTGCTTGTGGTGTTCCCTCTCTGTCAAATAAATAAATAAAATCTTATTAAAAAAAATCTTATTATACATTTTGGAGTAAAATTTCAGAGTATTAAGGAAAAATAGAACTTTCTAAAAGCTTCCAGGAAGAAAACATGGATCATATAAAAATTTTCAGGAATTAAAATCTCAGTGGACTTTTCAACAGCACCACTTGAAGTAAGAAAAAAAAAGTGATTCCCTTAATATTACAAAGGAAAATTAATTCTGGCCTAGCATATCTTAAAAAAAATAGCAATGTAGGAATATGAATTAGAAATATAGGAAAAAAGGGGCACCTGGGTGGCTCAGTCAGTTAGGTATCTACCTTCAGCTCAGGTCATGATCTCAGGGTCCTGGGATCGAGGCCCACATCGAATGCCCTGCTCAGTGGGGAGTCTGCTTCTCCCTCTTCCTCTCCCTCTGCCTCTAACCCCACTCGTGCTCTCTCTCAAATAAATAAAACCTTAAAAAAAAAAAAAGAAATATAGGAAAAAGGGCACCTGGCTGGCTCAGTCAGTGTGGAGTGAGCACTTCTTGATCTCAGGGTTGTGAATTTGAGCCCCACATTGGCTGTAGAGATTACTTAAAAATTAAATTAAAAAAAAATAAAAAGAAATATAGGAAAAGTGCCAAGAGAAACTGAAAAAAATTTGAGGGTAGCCACCTAGGGGGGTGGGATTAGGTACTGGGACAAAGCCCCGCCATTTTTCATTAAGTCTTCTAAAATTTCTTGAATTTTTTAAATACAAAATTGGTTAAACATTAATTTAAAATATCACCATTGGGGTGCCTGAATGGTACAGTCAGTTAAGTCAGTTAACTCTTGGTTTTGGCTCAGGTCATGATCTTGGGGTTGTGAGACAGAGCCCCACGCTGGGCTCCTTGTGCAGAACGGAGTCTGCTTCAGATCCTCTCTCCCTCTCCCTCTGTCCCTCCTGCTCGTGCTCTCTCTCTCTCTCAAATACATAAATCTTTGAAAAATAAATAAGTAAAATATCACCATCTTAGACAAGAGTATAACTTAAATTTCTTGAAAATTACAGTTCTCTTATGACTGTTGTAAGAATTATTCCCTATTAACATAAATTCTTTAACTTTTATAATTTTACTGGTGGCAGAATTTTCCACAATATAAACATTACTGAAAAAAAACCTTTCAAAATCTTAAAAAAAAAAAAAAAAAAAAGGGTGGGGGGCGCCTGGGTGGCTCAGATGGTTAAGCGTCTGCCTTCGGCTCAGGTCATGGTCCCAGGGTTCTGGGATTGAGCCCCACATTGGGCTCCCTGCTCAGCGGGGAGCCTGCTTCTCCCTCTCCCTCTGCCTCTCCCCTGCTCATGCTCTCTCTCTCTCTATCTCTGTCTCACATGGAATAAATAAAATCTTAAAAAAAAAAACAACAAAAAAAACCACCTTTCACTTCAGCCATTTTGTTAGGCAAAATCCTTAAGATCCTTTCCAGATATGGTCTTCCCTCTCATACCTTTCCCTATGCAGCTCTACCATTTTGCTGTTCCTGAATTGCATTCTTTATAGTAAAACTGTGATCAGATATGTAGTACTTTCCTGAGGTCTATGAATCATTCTAATCAATTACTATACCCGAGTGGGGATCATGGGAATGCCTCAATTTGTGGTCTGCTGGGCAGAAGTGCAGGGCCATGGGGCTACCCAAGGCTTGGAGCTGCTGTCTGAAATAGGGTAGTCTTGTAAGGCTAAGCCCCTAAACCTGTGGGGCTCTGTGTTAACTCTGGGTAATTAGTGTCAGAACTGAATTGTAGGGACACTCAGTTGGTGTCCAAAAATTGGTTGTTGAAAGATGACACACACTGTCCATCCCATAGAAAAAATTAGGTTATTTCTTCATCTTAGACTCTAAGGTCCAAAGTAGTGTAATGAAATTGTTTAGGAAAATTTTTGCTGTGTTTTCTGGAGTTTAGAGGGAACAGAAACTGGTATCCAGTCCCCTTTTTGGACCAGATGTGGACCCAATGGAGGGACAATGTGATTCCCAACAAAGCAGTAGAGCACAGAATCCCCAGTGTAAGACAGGTATCATAAGTAGACATTTCAGGGGCACCTGGGTGGCTCAGTCAGTTAATCGCCTGACTCTTGACTTGAGCTCAGGTCATGGTCTCAGGGTCGTGGAATCGAACCCTGCATCAGGCTCTGTGCTCAGCATCAAGTCGGCTTGTCCCACTCCCTCTGTTCTTTCCTCTATCTCTAAAATAAATGAATAAAATCTTTAAAAAAATAAGTAGCCATCTCAAGGAGATGTGTTGCCCATATCACAGGGAAGTACAAGTAGAGGTTTCCAGCAGGGACTTCTCTGAGAATCCTACAAAAGGACTCCAAAAGAAAATGAGTCAGTGTTGAACATCCATAAAAGCAAGAGAAACCAAGACCAAAACAACAGCACCAGTCAAGGAAGACTTTTCTCCTTACGTCCTCTTTCCTACCTGCTGCAACCTTATAGGAGCCACAGCCTATTGGGTGGAAGAAAAGAAATTTAGGCTAAAGAAACGAAGAAGTTTAGTGTATCTCCCTTTTCACACTGTAAGTTTCTGGCTTACAGCAAGCCTGAACTCAAAGAAAATACTTTTTTTTTTTTTTAGATTTTATTCATTTATTTGATAGAGAGAGACAGCGAGAGAGGGAACACAAGCAGGGGGGGTGGGGGAGGGAGAAGCAGGCTTCCCGCTGAGCAGGGAGCCCGATGCGGGGCTCGATCCCAGGACCCTGGGACCATGACCTGAGCCAAAGGCAGACGCTTAACGACTGAGCCACCCAGGTGCCCCTCAAAGAAAAGACTTTAAATGAAGCTTACATATTATTACACACAACTGGAGATTAGTAAAATGAGACTGACCTTATCACTGAAAATAACCAAAGGATACCAAAGAGTGATCAAAACAATTATAGAGACTAGCCCACAGAGAGAGCTGAAGTAGAAATTATGAAAAAAAATTTTATTTTGCTTGCTTCCTATGGAGTCCTGCTTATTTCAAAGTGCTAGTTATAAGTTGATTTGGTTTTCCAGGTACACATTCATATCATCTGCAAAATGATTATCTTATATCCTCTTTTCTAATTTTTAAACCTAAGTGCTTTGTTAGTGTTTAAGTGCTTTGGTTAATACCAACGCAACAATGTTAAATAACACTGGTGATGGTGATTATTCTTGTCTTTTTACTGACTTTACTAGGAATGCTTCAAATATTTCCTCATTAAACATTAGGTTAAAAAACGGGCAGGGGGGCGGTGCCGGGCTGGCTCAGTCGGTAGAGCATGAAACTCCTTTTTTTTTTTTTTTTAAAGATTTTATTTATTTATTTGACAAAGAGAGACACAGCGAGAGAAGGAACACGAGCAGGGGAAGTGGGAGAGGGAGAAGCAGGCTTCCCGCAGAGCAGGGAGCCTGATGTGGGGCTCGATCCCAGGACCCTGCGATCATGACCCGAGCTGAAGGCAGACGCTCAACGACTGAGCCACCCAGGCGCCCCTACAGCATGAAACTCTTGATCTCGGGGTTTGCAGTTTCAAGCCCTATGTTAGATGTAGAGATTACTTAAAAACAAAATCTTAAAAAAAAAACCCAAACATCTGATTAGCTTCTGAGAACAAAATTCAATGCATTTCTTTTATCTTCTATTATATTACACTAAACCCCTAGCATTATTCCTGTTAATATCGGGCAACAATCTTCACTACAGAAATGGCAAGTGTAATTAGAGGCTGATGGGAGAGGAGAACCAGATACTCTGGGTTTTGGGACAGGAGAATGGATTGGAAATACTCAGCCATCTTCTAAAAAAACTCAGATAGAAAGGTCTTAAGCTGAATAGATTTGGGGTGACTGATTCTTAATGTGATTTCCTTTGCCTCTGTACCAAATACCCACATTTAAAAAATTGAGAGTAGACCCACCTAGTGTATCAACTCTAAAAACCAAAAAGATTAAGAGACAAAAAAGGGTAATGATAAGAAATTCTAATCTGTGTTTAATTAGAGCCTGAGAAGGGAGAGGAGAGAGAGAGAATAAGGCAGAGGAAATCTTTGAAGATGGCTGAGGACTTCCCTAAACTAATAAAAAACACCTCTCTACAAATTCAAAAAACTCTACAAATCCCAAGAAGATAAAATTTTTAAAAGACACACTTAGACACATTATACTAAAATTACAGAAAACCAAAAACTGGGAGAAAATCTTAAAAACAGCCATAGGAAAAAAAGCCAAAATACCTTTAAAGGAGAGCGAAGCTAGAATCAAGACTGTGATACTGTTATAGAACAACAGAACAAAGAGCTCATAAACATACCCACGTACATACAGACACTGGATTTATATATATTTGGATATATATGAAATGGGAACATAGTGGACTAATATATGGTACTGAGAAAGCTAGGGAGGAATTCATAAGTGGGAAAAACCTTGGGCCCCACTTTACATCATACACAAAAGCCAGTTAGTTAGAGGTGGATTAAATATATAAATGGGAAAGGCAAAACTTTTCTATTTTAAGATTTTATTTTTAAGTAATCTCTACACCCAATGTGGGGCTTGAACTCATAACCCTGAGATCAAAAGTCACATGCTCCACCAACTGGGCCAGCCAGAACCCCAAAAAGCAAAACTTACAGCTTTACGCATAAATATAGAAGAATATTTGTATAACCTTGGGACAGGAAAGGATTTTTTTTTAAAGATTTTATTTATTTATTTGAGAGAGAGAGTGCACATGAGCAGGGGGAGGAGCAGAGGGAGAGGGAGAAGCAGACTCCCCACTGAGCAGGGAACCCGACATGGGGCTTGATCTCAGGGTCCTGGGATCGAGTCCCGCATCGGGCTCCCTGCTCCTTGGTAGCCTGCTTCTCCCTCTGCCTCTCTCGCTCTCTCTCTGTCTCTCATGAATAAATAAATAAAATCTTTAAAAATAAATAAATAAAATTTATTAAAAACAAAAACAAAAACAAAAGAAATACAAAAAGGACCAACCATAAAGAAAAAAAATAATTGATAACTTTGTGTTAATGTTAGGATTTCTATTCATAAAACTACCTTAAAGGAAATGATATAACAATCTAAACAGTAGAAAAATATCAATGAAGGATCCATATCCAGATTATATAAAGAACTATGAATCAACAAGAGATAATCCAGGGGCAATAAGGTAGACGATTTGAACAGGCAGGTCACAAAAGAAGAAACCCTAATAACCAATAAATATATGAAATTGTGTTCAATCTCATTATTAATCATGAAGTCCAATTTCAAACCTGTGTGTGTGTGTGTGTGTTTGTATAAATAAATATTTAAAGATTTCAAAGTCTGACACAACTGACTTGAAAAAAAGGAGAGAACATAACTCATTCATACAAAGAAATATGTATCTTTTTTAAATTTTTATTTATTTGAGAGAGAGAGAGAGAATGAAAGAGAGAGCGAGCATGAGAGAGGGGAGTGGCAGAGGGAGAAGCTGACTCCCCGCTGAGCAGGAAGCCCGATGTGGGACTCGATCCTGGGACTCCAGGATCATGACCTGAGCTGAAGGCAGTCGCTTAACCAACTAAGCCAGCCAGGCACCCCAAGAAATATGTATCTTTGAAAAATGGTATCTACAAAGACCATTTGACAACACAGGAGAACAATACTTTTTAGTGAAAATGTAGGACATAATATGATAAATGAGGTATAATTTGATTTTGGAAAAATATTAAAAATTAATCAAGGGGCGCCTTGTGGCTCAGTCGGTTAAGTGTGTGCCTTCGGCTCAGGTCATAATCCTATGGTCCTGGGATCAAGCCCTGCATTGGGCTCCCTGCTCAGCAGGGGAGCCTGCTTCTCCCTCTCCCTCTGTCCCTGCTTTGTGTGCTCTCTCTCTCTCACTCTTTCTCTCAAATAATCTTTAAAAAAAAATTAATCAAAATATTAACATTAGTTATTTTTGAGTGATCACATTTTATTTTTTCTTGGTAATTCTGTTTCTGAAATCTCTAAAATAATCGTGATTTTTATTTTATTTTATTTATTTTATTTAGTGTTGTTGTGTTATGTGTTGTGCATGTTATGTGTTGTGTATGTTATGATGTGTTATGATATGTTATGTTATGTTATGTTACACAGACTCCATGCCCAGCACGGAGCCCAATGTGGGGCTTGAACTCAGGACCCTGAGATCAAGACCTGAGCCCAGATCAAGAGTCAGTCCCTTAGCTGACTGGGCCACTCAGGCGCCCCATGTTTTTATTTTAAAATCCTAATAATTGCATTTAAATCCTAATATTGCATTTAAAAGAAGAAAACTCAACAAACAGAAGTGGAGCCATTTTCCAAATAAGTGAACAATAGGTATATGGGTCCTGTTGGGCTTTAAAACCAGCCAGGCAGGACTACCCTTCCCTCTAATAGGGAAATTATAAGGACCTACAATTAAATGGCATATCTTTATTAAGCATTTAACTTTCAGAAGAAAGAAAGCAAAGAGAAAACCCCAACACACCTTGGACATTGCTTGTAGAAGTTCATTGTGCATTCTTTCCTTCTCTTCTGCACCTGGAGAAGGGCGGAAATGGGGAGAGGAAAAAGTAATTGCAAAACACCATGTTTTCCTTTCCCCCCCAAACTGGTCTGGTCAGAAGTCACCTCCAGTCCCAATCCCAGTCCCCACCACACCAGGGAATGGAGATCAGAGAATGGGGCATCCTGCCTAATCCGTGTGTCAGGAAAAAGCGGAAGCCACTGCTGTCAAGGGACTATAATCTGACCAAATTTCACAGAGGTTCCCTGGGGACAAAGTTCTGGAGTTACAATCTTACATATGACAGGAACCCCATACCCAGACACATAGTGCCCCATACCTTGAGCACGGTCATACTGAAACCAATGCGACAAGCACTCCACACGGGCACACATAGAACCACACAGTTACAATCACATACCCACCACCGAACACATATAGTTAGTTACTCTCGTATAGTCGCAGGTACCCCCCCAGTGTGGCGGGGTCACAACAGCCATAGGGACACACGCAGTCACAACCCCACAATGATAGGCAACCGATATCCGCACACAGGTCTCAATGTCACAGTCTCTCTCACACACAATCTCACAACCTCCCCTTTACAAGCCGCTCCGCCCGCACCGGCCGGATGACCCAGCTCGATACCTATCTCCGGGCTCCCCGATTTACACCTTTCGGGTCTCCCGGCATCGCAACGTGCACAACTGAGCCGGTTCCCCCGGGACCGCCGGACTCTCACCTCACGGATCTAACGGTCCCGCCAGGCGTGACGAAACGTTCGCGTTCCTGCGAGAAGAGCGACGGGCCACCGAGCCCTCTGGGAAATGTGGTCCAGAGAGGCACCCGCGTAATTCCTCTCAGAGTCCTGGCTGGACCCTCCCGAAACGACTGTAACTGCAATTCTCAGCGTCTAGCCAGGCCCCAGGGTTGCGAGGCACGGTAGGTTGGCACCTACCAGCCAGGCCTTCGGCGCGGGACTGACGCAGCCCCTTCCCCACACAGGAAACGCAGACAGCCTTCTGGCCGGAAGTTGAATCGGGCCGCGAAGCCTTCTGGGCGGTGTTGTTGTGCTCAGGGACGTCCGTTGGGAGGCGGGCGCGAAAGGATGGTTCGGTGTTACCGGCCCCTGGCCTGGGTCTTTCTGTAGGTCGCCTTCACCCATCCTCCCAGAAACCGCGCGCTGAATGCGCATTCGGGCGTTTCCGGCAGGTGACGCTACCGCGTCCCAGCAGCGGGGTATGGGGGAGGGGCTTGAGCTGTGTGGGCTGCACGGTCGCGCGGCTGATGGGGCGGAGCCTCTGAGGAGGCCCGAAGAGTCTGGAGTGGCCGCGGTGTAAAATGCTCAGGGTGGGAATAAGCTGCTGGAGAGTGGTTGGAATTGTTGGACCAAAAAACTGGGGTGGGAGTCAGTGTGTGTGTGACAGTAGTGATGTGCGTGACTGCGTGTGAGGGTGATAGACTAATTGTGATGGGCTGTGTGATTGTGGTGTGTTGTGTTACGGTGATGTCTGGTTGCGTGTGGTTGTATGGTGTTTGTGTGGTTGTGAAAGTTCTGTGGTTAGGTATTTGTAATATGTGTAGTGGTTCTTGTCTTGAGTTGACTTCTGTATAGTGTTTGTCATACTTGATAACTGCTTGGGGAAAAAAATCTGTATAAAATTTTGCTTTTTTGTTTTAAGCAGTCCTCCCTGCCCTTTGGCCACTCCTTAGTCTCCTTTGCTTCCTTTTTTTACCCCTAGAAGTTCTTGGTTCTCTTCTGTTGCTTTCCAGTTTTCCTGTCGATCTTTTCCGGATTCATTATCTCAACATCATATGGCACACATCTTTTATTATATGTATTACTTAGCTATTGCCAGGATAGTAATGCTGCCTAACAAACCACCCCTAAGTCAGTGGCATATAACAGCAAGCATTTATTCTCATGTTCACCTGTTCCCTTGTTCTCTGTTCAGCTTATTTAGGCTGGGGTTGACTGAGTAGCTAGCCTGCAGGATGGATTTAGATCTGCTCCTCCACAGGTGTTCTTTCTGCTGCTCAGGCTAAGAAGACAGTGGTTACCAGGACCTGTTCTCATCGTGGATCACCAGAGCACAAGACAGACCATACAAACACCTTAAAAACCTCTGCTCCTCAGTATACTAATAATACATTACCCAACGCAAGCCACATGGCTAAGCTTAATGTTAATTACACCCAAGTGGGAGGACAAGGCAAAGTTAATGGCAAAGAGTGTGACTAATAGTTTGGAGGGGAGTGAAGAATTGGGACCAAGATTTCAATCTACCACATTAGGAAACATGCCTCTTTATCCTGGTGAACACCTTTTGGTCCAAGTTCTCTTTTGTCTGATAATATTCCTTTTCAGGGTTTGTTATTGTTTTATCCAGGAATTTCATTTTCCAACCCCTTCTTTTTATGTTTTTATGCTTCAGGTCTCTTGTAAAGAGTATATTGCTGGGCTTTTTACCCTTTTATCCTGTTTGAATGTTATTTTAATAGGTGAGTTTAATTCATTTACATTTATTGGGATTGCTGATATAAATTTGTTTTCTATTTACTATGGCTTTTTTATTGTGCAGATTTAGTTTATTCCCCTTTCTCCACTGCTTTGGTTTCTGTTCTTTTCCTTGAATTTTTAACATGCATACTTGATAAAACCCCAACACTTGAACTCCAAACTACCCACCTATTTCTATGTTATTCTTGTCTAATATATTACTTTCTTCTGATTTTAAATTCCCCAAATTAGTAGAATTCATTTGTTAAGTGTATATATATATATGTATATATATGCATCTTTTGTATATACATAAATGTGTATGTCTTTTTATACATGTGTATATATGTTATATGTATATATACTTTTTAATTGTGATAAAATAGAGATAATGTACAACATAAAATTTACCATCTTAATATCTGCATCCCCATTTTCATTGCAGCATTATTTACAATAGCCAAAATAGGGAAACATTCATCAACAGATGAATGGATAAAGAAAATGTGGTATTATATGTACAATGGAATATTATTCAAAGAAGGAAAGCCTGCCATTTGTGACAACATGGGTGAACCTGAAGAACATTATGCTATGTGAAATAAGCTAGTCACAGAACAAATACTACATGATTCAATTTGTATGATGTATATAAAATAGATTCAAGAAGCACAAGAATAGAATAATGATTGCCAGAGCCTGGGAGTCGAGGGAAATGGGAAATTGTTTTTCCATGGGTACAAAGTTTATGTTATGCAAGATGAGTAAGTTCTAGGATCTATACAACACAGAACCTATATTAATAATACAGTATTATGCACTTTGTTAAGAGTATAGATCTTGTGTTAATTGTTCTTACCAAAGAAATAAAACACAAAAGAACACAAGGAAATTTTGGGGGGTGATGGATATGTTTAGTACCTTGGTTATGGAATTGGTATCATGAATATATGCGTATGCCCAAACTCATCAGGATGTATACATTAAATGTGTGCAATTTTTTGGTACATTTATTATACCTTGATAAAGCTAAAAGCACAAAAACATTTAACATTTTAATTATTTTTAAGTGTGGAGTTCAGTGGCATTATATTCATATTGCTATATAACTGTCACTACCATCTAGCCATAGAACTCTTTTCATCTTGCAAAACAGAAACTTTGTACCCATTAAACAATAACTCCCCATTCCTTGGATCTCCCAGTCCCAGCAGCTTCCATTCTACTTTATGTCTATATGAATTTGACTACTCTACATACCTCATATAAGTTGGATCACACAGTATTTGTGGGGTTTTTGTGACTGGTTTATTTAACTTAGCATAAGGTCTTCAAGGTTCATTCATGTTAAAGCACATGTCAGAATTTCCTTCCTTTTTAAGGCTAAATAGTATTTCATTGTATGTATACGCCACATTTTGTTTATCCATTTATCTGTCAATGTACACTGGGTTGCTTCTACCTTTTGACTATTGCAGATAATGCTGCTATAAATATGGGCATACAGATATTTGTTCAAGTCCCTGCTTTCAATTCTTTTGGGTATGTACCCAGAAGTAGAATTTTTGGATCATATGGTAATTCTGTTTTTCATTTTTTGACTGCCATACTGTTTTCCATAGTGGCTATATCATTTTAATCAACATATTTTTTTGAGCACCTACCATCAATGGCAAAGAGAGATTTAAAAAATACCTGTTTTCATGACGTTTATATGAGGGGGTACACAGACAATATGTATGGTAAATAAATTATATAGTTTGTTAGTGATAATTACCATAGAGGAAAAAAACAGAAATTCTGTGAGGGATATTAGGAATATCTCAAAATTTATTACAATTGAATATTTCTGTTTTATTCTGTTCTATCATACAGTGAAAGTATTAGTCTATTCTCTTGTATATTATTTTTTTTACTCTTTACCTAGTAAAGCCTCAAAGCAGATGATAAGTTAATATTTCTTAACTTAGCCATTTTATTCATCCAGTATCATTGTGATGGGAGTATAATTCTCACTTCAGATGAAGAGTATGGGAATTCTAAATTGCAAATGTGTTTTACCTCAATTGCCGAGATAGATAGGAAATGGAATAGCTGCAACTCTTACTCCAAACCCTGGGGTTGCTGCAAGTCTGAATCTTTTTTGACTCAACTTTGTATCTGCTGCAAATCTGAATCTTTTTTGACTCAGCTTTGTATCTGTTGATTCAACTTTGCACTGGGTTTACACCTTTATGCTCACAGAAGATATCTGAAGAGCAGATATTATGTGAACATCACTGTTGTGATCACCTTGTTTTTAGAGTCTTGGTGTTTTCTCCAGTGCTTGGTTCAACCTAGGTTGCTGAGTGTTTGAATTTTCCACCAGATTCTTTCTGTCTTTGCATCCAGCATCTCTGGTCAGTAACCCCAGGGAATGTGAATTACAAGCAAGAAAGCTAATTGTTTGGGGCTGTATTAGTTATCTACTATTGTGTAACAAATTACCTCAAAATTCAGTAGCTTAAACAACAATAAACATTTATTATCTCACACTCTGTGGGGGGCGGGAAACAACTTAGCTGGATACTCTGGCCCACATATTTCATGAAGTTGCAGTCAAGATGTTGACAAAGCTGCAGTCATTGGAAGGCTAGACGGGCTGGAGGATTTGCTTCCTACATCGCTGGCAAGTTAGTGTTGGCTGCTGGCAGGAGCCCTTCTCTAGCGCTGGTTGAAGTCTTCATGGCATGGTGGCTGACTTCCTTCAAAGTGCATGATTCAAAAATGTGTAATGTGCAATACAGAAACCACAATGTCTTTTATGACCTAACTTTGGAAGTCACACACTGTCAGTTTTTGCAATATCCTATTGGTTAAACAGGACAACTCTATTCAGTGTGGGAGGGGTGTACAAAAACCATGAATACGATAAGGCAGTGATCATTGGAACTCATCTTGGAAGCTGGTTACCAAAGGGATCTAGTGAGAAAACATCAAGTAAATTGAATTTATATCATAAGCCCACAGGTCCTGCCTCCACAAAGATAAGACAAATCTGTGATGTGAGTAAAAGGAAGCCTGGAGAGCAGGTATCCATCATGGAAGGAGACCTTCTGACCTTAGAATTCTCCTGGAGGCTGGAGAGGCCTGAGATAGAGTGGACCCTGGAATTGCTGGATCTACAGCTTATCTTAACCCTTCTGCCCTGAGTGGACAAGCCCTGAATGACATCTCAGCCTTCAGAGATCAGCAGTCGCTGGGTGACAATGGAGCATTTAACCCAGATGATGGAAAGGAGAGGTGAGGTGGCTCAGAGATGGGCAGAGTTTAGGAGAGAGAAGCTGTATGTTTAGGAGCAGAGAGAGTAAAAAGAGTTAGGAAATTTAGTACTCCTACCAAAGAAAGTTCACACGGGTGTTACTGACTGCAGGGTAGACATTTGTTTTTTATTTATTCACTTGACTATTATTTGATTTTTTTTAAATAACTATTTTAAATGTAATTTCTGTTTTTCTTACATTTAGATTTTTTTTTAAGGGCTGTTAAATACATAACCATAAACAAAATTTCCTACTCTATCCTTTCTCATCCCCTGATCCCACTCCCCAGAGGCAACCATTTTGGTATTCAGCTTCACTTTCCTGAATAATATCCTCATACTGCTCATGCTTGATTTCTCAGTTTTAGATATTTCCTGTTGACTTTTGACAATGGAGATAAGGATTTATCTCTGTTTTCTACCTAACCTCTTTCTTGTCTCCCTCACCCCACCCCTCCCCAACCCCTCTAATATGGTGTCTTATTAGAGGTTGAAAGTTGACTAAATGTCAGGATCTGTATCTATTTTGGGGGGGGCTAGTCAGTTTCCTAGATTTTGCTTGAGGAATATAAGCCAGAACTGCTTTGGAAGGCAAACAGTAGGAAGTTGGGGGTTGGGAGGACACACCTCATCTTTCAATATTACAACTTTCACTTAATTTCCTTATTGCTCCAACCCCTTACATTCAGCTCCTATCCCACACTCCTGCCTGCAGAAGTACCTAGTGCCTTCATTCCTAAGCCTTTCAAGGGTTCTGCTGTAGTTTCCCCACCCTTTCCCCACCCTCTCTTAAGCTTCCACTTTCTCTAGTTAAATTAGGTAACAGTCATCTGTTTAATCTCTAGCTTCCAAAATTTTGTTGACATCTCTTATCTGCTGACGTCTTCCATATTCTCTATGATACTCAATTTCCTTTGTTCCTTTACTTTCATTTTGGTTGGGTTTGGGAGAGAACCGAAGTAAATGCAAATATTCATTCTTACATTTTTGACCTGAAGGCCACGAATTTTTTAGATTAAAAAATTAAGTTGCTTGAAAATGTCATTAGAATCATGACTGCATTTTTTTCTCCTTTTTTTTGTTCTATGATTTTTAAAAATTTTTTTAAATTTTTTATTGTTATGTTAATCCCCATACATTACATCATTAGTTTTTGATGTAGTGTTCCATGATTCATTGTTTGCGTATAACACCCAGTGTTCCATGCAGAACGTGCCCTCTTTAATACCCATCACCAGGCTAACCCATCCTCCTCCGCCCCCTAGGACCCTCAGTTTGTTTTTCAGAGTCCATCGTCTTTCATGGTTCGTCTCCCCCTCTGATTTCCCCCCCTTCATTCTTCCCCTCCTGCTATCTTCTTCTTCTTCTTTTTTTTTTTTTTAACATATATTGTATTATTTGTTTCAGAGGTACAGATCTGTGATTCAACAGTCTTGCACAATTCACAGCGCTCACCATAGCACATACCCTCCCCAGTGTCTATCACCCAGCCACCCCATCCCTCCCACCCCCCACCACTCCAGCAACCCTCAGTTTTAGAATCATGACTGCATTTTATTCCATCATATAAATGGTTCACAATGCCTAAACCTGCCCCTGATTAAAGTTTTTCCATATTTTATAGTGTTTCATAAAATAATTCTTAAATCTTTGTAATATTTATTATTATGTACTTGAGATAAATTTTCTATTAAGAATAAAATAACAAGATCCTAGGGAAAGCTTATATTGTCAATAGATTCATTGGGCACCCTATACTTAGCCCTCCAGAAATTCTCATCGGATCCTGTATGGTAACAGTCTTTCACGTACATTTCAGCATCTCTATTGCCTGGTGGTGGTTAGCATTTCTCAGTGCTCTGAGGATCATTATAGATGGATATTACAGCCACCTGGTACTGAAGATTTCTATAGGCCTTTGTCTGGAGCTCTGAAATAAAACTGCTTTATTTCTCTTCCCTCAGCTTGGCATTCTCAGGACTCTGGCCTTTTGGAGGAAGAAGAGGATATGACCAGGTCTCTTGTACGTTTTAAGCGTTTATTTGTTTGCTGCATTATTTTGCATTGCAGTTGCAGGGGGTTATCTTAACCTATCAGTAAATTGGGAAAAACTAAATTGATGAAAATCAAGGTAAGGAAAAATAGAAGATCAGAACCAGGTGAAATTTGGGATGTGGCTATGCAGAAACAGGTCCATACAAAGTTATTAGGTTGAATTCAATCTGAATGTGAGCTGGAGAAACAAAAGTAAACTGGGACACAAAGTTTATTCCATATATTCCATAATTTATTCTGTTTATGAGGAAAAAGCTAATAATTAAGGAAAGAGAAAACTTTTCAAAGATTTTTTTTTAAAGTAATCACTATACCCAAAATGGGGCTCAAACTTACAACCCCAAGATCAAGAAAGCATTGGCACACTGGGCGCCTGGGTGGCTCAGTTGGTTGAGCGACTGCCTTAGGCTCAGATCATGATCCTGGAGTCCCGGGATCGAGTCCCGCATCGGGCTCCCTGCTCAGCAGGGGTCAGTTTCTCCCTCTCCCGTTCGTTCCCCCCTTTTGTGCTCTCTCTCTCTCTCTCTCTCTCTCACTCTTTCAAATAAATAAAATCTTTAAAAAAAAAAAAAGCATGGCACCTAGATAAAAAAGAAATTCAGAATAATTCCACAATACTTATAATTTTAAGATCAGTTTTTTTTTTTTTAAAAGTCTGTCCTGGCCAAAGATTAAAAACTAAAATTATCTGGAATAGTAAATGGAACACATCTTTCAAATGATCCTGCATATATATTTTCTTTGGTTGAGATTTATCAAATTGAACTAAAATATACTAGCTTCTATGGAAAAATCTTATAGTTCTTATATCCATAGCTTTCCACATTTTTTTTTTTTTAATGGCCTCAGAAGATGCAGTATTCTTTGCCTTCTTGCAAAGTGACTCATTCTCCTTTGCTCTTGATTCTTTTTGTTTCCAACTCTGGAATCCCTCACACCCTGTAGTTTAAATATTTTCTACTTCGCTACCGCTTTTCCTCATTTCATATTTCCCATCCTGAAACACACAAACACACTTCTTTTGGACGTATGATCCTGTGGTTTGTGCGGTTATTTCTCCTGTTGGCAGAGTGGTTCTCTAGGCCTACAGAGGCTTGGGTTCAAATCTTGGCCCAGCAACTTACTAAGTGCATGATTATGGGCAGCTTTAATCTCTTTGGCCTCAGTTACATTGTTTGTAAATGGGGATAATAATCGTACTTATCCCATAGGAATAATGGGAGGGTAAAATGCACATAGTAAGTGCTCCATAAATGATAAATATTGTTAATAATTATTAGCTATAGAAATCTTTCCTAACTGAAAAGGCCTTGGGATATGTTGGCTATATTTTGACTTGCCTTTTTAGTTTAACATATGAAACCAATGAGATAAAAGAGAAGATCCCTGATTTGGGTTCATACAATTAATCCTCTTCAGTAAAACTACAATAAATACTGTAATAAGGCAAAACTAGGAACAGTTTTTGTAATACATATAGCATAAATATACTAACAATTCTTAAAAACCAGTAATTAAGAAAATAGAAAATTGTGTGAAGAACATGAAGAGGCAGATGGAAGAAATAAAAGTGGCCAGTGGGTATTTTATTTTATTTATTTCTTTTAAAGATTTTATTTATTTATTTGACAGAGACATAGCAAGAAAGAGAACACAAGCAGGGGGAGTGGGAGAGGGAGAAGCAGGCTTCCCGCCCAGCAGGGAGCCCGATGTGGGGCTCGATCCCGGGACTCTGGGATCACGACCTGAGCCGAAGGCAGACGCTTAACGACTGAGCCACCCAGGTGCCCTGCCAGTAAGTATTTTAAAATACTAATGTCAAGAGGCATCTGGGGTGCCTGGGTGGCTCAGTTGGTTAAGCGACTGCCTTCGGCTCAGGTCATGATCCCGGAGTCCCGGGATCGAGTTCCCGCATCGGGCTCCCTGCTCGGCAGGGAGTCTGCTTCTCCCTCTGACCCTCCTCCCTCTCATGCTCTCTGTCTCTCATTCTGTCTCAAAAAAAAAAAAAAAAAAAAAAAAAAAAAAGAGGCATCTGGGTGGCTCAGTCGTTAAGCGTCTGCCTTCGGCTCAGGTCGTGATCCCAGGGTCACGGGATCGAGTCCCACATCGGGTTCCCTGCTGGGCCGGAAGCCTGCTTCTCCCTCTCCCACTCCCCCTGCTTGTGTTCCTGCTCTCGCTATCTCTCTCTGTCACATAAATAAATAAAATCTTTAAAAAAAATAAAGCAAAAAAATAAAATACTAATGTCAAAAAGAAACAGACCATTCAGATTTGCAGATACATTTTTTTAAGAGTATTTTGAATTGGTAGGTAATGACCATCTTTTATAAGAGGATTCCAAATAATTAGTTCACACATGCATTTTCTTTATATAGTAAAAACCTGGATGGGGCGCCTGGGTGGCTCAGTCGTTAAGCGTCTGCCTTCGGCTCAGGTCATGATCCTGGGGTCCTGGGATCGAGCCCCACATCAGGCTCCCTGCTCAGCGGAAAGCCTGCTTCTCCCTCTCCCACTCCCCCTTCTTGTGTTTCCTCTCTTGCTGTGTCTCTCTCTGTCAAATAAATAAATAAAATCTTTAATAAAAAAAAAAGCTGGAGATCAAGGAATTATGATCTACAAATGGGATACTCTTAGCTGTCAAAAAATTTGTAACAGTTCCTGTCGGATATGAGAGCCAGATGTTTTGGACTATCAAATGGAAATGGACTGCCTCCGTTTCTAGACTTGCAGTCCCAAATTCATTCTAGAATATGGATATAAATATAGTCCATGGCAGCTTTTATTTATATGTGAATAGACTACAGGTAGAAAAGCAGCTAGAAAAATTTCCTACAACAATAATAGCTTTATTGAGTACTTTTTATGTGCCAGATGTATTATGCTATAAACTTCAGATAGCTTATTTCATGTAATCATTATCAGAAGCTTGTAAAGTAGATATTATTTTAATTTTTACAAAGAAGGGAAGTAAAGCACAGAGGTTAAGAAGCTGACATAACTTCATGCATGAAGTGTGTAATAAAGCCAGAATTCAAACCCATACAGCCTGACTCTCGGGCTACACTATGATACTATACAGATTGAATGAGTGAAGGAATGCAAATTTTGACAATTGACTGTTCATATTATTTATTTTATATTGTTAGTCCTTTTTCTACTTGAATTTAGGGAATTTTAAGAATGCCTTCTTTGTCATTAGGATTTCTATAGATACCTTTTCCTAATCTGCCACTTTTATGTTGTTATGTATCTTTTGTTGTATAGGCATTTTAAATTTGGATAGTTATATTTAGCATATGATACATATGTGCATACAATAAAAATTCAGTCAACATTAATATACAGCATCAGTATTTAATAGTCCTTTCTTTCATGAGTTGCCAGTGGTGGTCTTTTCTAAGACATCTTTCATAATGTAGATTATAGAGATAGTGTATTTTCAAAACTTTGTTTTTCATATTTAGTCTTTAGTCCAATTGTAATTTAATTTTATAATTGATTTTAGGTAGGAATTTTTTTTTAAAGATTTTATTTATTTATGTATTTGAGAGAGAGAATGAGAGAGAGAGAGAGAGCATGAGAGGGGGGAGGGTCAGAGGGAGAAGCAGACTCCCTGCTGAGCAGGGAGCCAGACGTGGGACTCCATCCCAGGACTCCAGGATCATGACCTGAGCCGAAGGCAGTCGCTCAACCAGCTGAGCCACCCAGGTTCCCCTTTAGGTAGGAATTTACTGATAATTCTATCAGTAGGATTATTTTTACATGTAGAAGACCAGTTTTTCCAACACTATTGTTAAATAGATATTTCTTTTGTGATGCCACCTTTATCATGTGCATGCTTAATTGTTTCTAGGCTCTTTATTCTGTTCCTTTAATCTATTTGTCTACATCTGTACCAGTACTGTACTCTGTGTGTGTGTATGTGTGTGTTTACATTGTTTTAACTACTATAACTTTAAAATAACCCTGTTGCTTAGGCAAGGATTTCCCCACTTCCCACCACACACATGTTGTTCCTAGTCATTCAGAAATTTCTTAGCTACTTTGGGACCCCTATGTTTCTGTTTGAATTTTAGAATCAATTTATCTGGTTTCAAAGGAATAAAAATCCTGTTGGGATTTTAACTGGAATTGCAAAGAATTTATAGACTAATTGGAGAAGAATTGAGTGCAATTTTTTTTCTATCACAAAGATGTTTCAAGTTAAGGGAATCTATTAATATAATTCATCATATTCAAGAAAAAAAGATAATCAGCTTCATAGAGCTAATTTTTTTAAAAATCAGAACTTCAGATTTTATTTATTTATTTATTTTAAAAGATTTTATTTATTTATTTGACAGAGAGAGATATAGCGAGAGAGGGAACACCAGCAAGGGGAGTGGGAGAGGGAGAAGCAGGCTTCCTGAAGAGCAGGGAGCCCAATGCGGGGCTCAATCCCAGGACCCTGGGACCATGACCTGAGCCGAAGGCAGACGCTTAACGACTGAACCACCCAGGCGCCCCAGAACTTCAGATTCTAAAAGAATCGATCTATAAAATAGGAGTAAAAGGACACTTTATTAACATGATATTGTTAACAATTTTTCCACACATAATAAGCTAAAAGCCCGCACCATGTTTACTAGGGAAAATGAGACACATTCCCACCAAACTCAGGAACACAACCAGATCGCCCATGCTACCACATTTATTTACTGTAATACTATATGCCTAGGCATATAACAAAGAGAAAAAAATGGAAGATAAAAACTGGGAAGGTGCATGCAAAATTATGATATCTAGATGATACAGTTATGTATGTGGGCAGCTGAAGAGAAATAACAACTGAATCCAATATGGACACAAAATTTACACAAAAACCAATAGCATTCTCTATCTAAACCACAATCAGATGAAAAATAAAATGGAAGATGGTAAGAGTAGAAACAAAACCATAAAGAAAAAAAGTATCTGATGTGTATGGGA